GGCAACAATGAACCGAAGGGAACAACTGTCTTTTTCGTTGGTCAAGGATTATTTTGGTGGCCATCGTGGTTTTTTTTTTTTTTTGGGGACAGCTCAACTTTTTTATGGGGGGTTTTTTTATGTTTTTTGGCGACTGGGACCAAATGGCGCAATTTTTGTAAACTGCGGTTGGCCCGGGACAGTCGGTGACTACTGTCGTCCCGTGGAAATTGTGTTTAAAGTAAATGGTCAGGATGGTGGATGGTGGCTGGGGGATGGTCAAAAAATGAGGTTTGTTTATAATTAAAAGGGGCTCCCTCTGAAGTCTAGACTTTTTATATAAAATCCTTTACGGGGTGAGATGTTCCCAGCCTTTGAGGGGTTTTACAGTTTTTTTTTTAATCAAACCCAGCCTCCACAAAACCTTGGTGGGTTTTTTTCAGCCTTAGTGGCGGTTTTTTCAGCCTTGGTGGGGTTTCAGCCTTTGTTGGCATTTTAGTTTTTGGGGGCAGTTTTAGTTTGGGGGGCAGTTTTAGCCTTGGGGGCAGTTTTAGCCTTGGTGGCTTTTTTTACCCTTGGGTTGGCAGTTTCGCTTGGTGGCAGTTTTAGCCTTGGGTGTAGTTTACCTTTGGGGGGCAGTTTCACCCTTTGGTGGTGGTTTTCAGCTTGTTGGCAGTTTCAGCCTTAAGGGGTTCAGTTAGTGGCAGTTTTAGCTTTGGCATTTTTACCTTGGTGGTGATTCGAAGAGAAGGTGGTTGGTTTTCATTCCAAGATGGCGGTATATGGAGAGTTGAAAGGTGTATTTTTTTCTAATTAAAGAGGGGTGGTGTTGTTTTATGTGTACTAAGGTTGTACCAGACACTTTTAAATAATTTTAACAGCTCTAATGGTTTGAATTTTTGTATTTGTCGGCTTTGATTTTGATTACTATTGTTAGGAATTTTAAAGATTTAAATTTAAAAAATTTAAAAAAGGGGAAACGTTAAAAAAGTTCAAATATTTAAAAAGAAAAACAGTTTTTTTTTTATTTTTGAATAGTGTTTTTTAAATTTAACCCCTCAAAAAGTTTTTAAGTTTTAAAACTCAACTTGACCCAAAAAAAAATTCACAATTTATAAGTTTTAAGAAGTTTTTAAATTTAAAAAATTGAAAAGAAAATTTTTTTTTTTTTTCAACTTTTAAAGTTTTAAAAAGGAGAAAGAAATCAGAACGTGTCATGTCGTCCCACTTTCCCCGGGAAGGCATTCGTCGGGCCTTTGTACACATTTAAATAGCTTGATGCATTCCCTTGGGACAGCTGAAGTGTTTTTGAGGGTATGCACATCGTAATAATCGTTTTAATAGTGCCATCAGGGTGACCGTTGAAGCCACGATTGTTTTTGTTGTTTAAACCCACCCGGACCGACCCTGGGACACAAAGTGCACCATTCAAATAAAGATCACCCGGGGGACAAGTCCCAGAAATCCCCCATTCATCTCTAGGTTGGGTTATGTTAGCACCCCCGACTACAGTCGGATGAAGCTTAAAATAACAAAATTTTTTTCCCCATTTGTGAGTTTTAAAAAGGACGCTTTTTAAATTGAGGCTTTCTACCCACCGGACATCACCAACGATAAACACCCGATGCCAAAAAGTCCACCATGGATGAGGACACCGTGAGAGGTCCCAGAAACCCCGTTAGACAATTGGCCTATCTTTGGCCTGCCAAATATTGCAGCCCCTGGCAAAAGCCAGGGGGGGGGCTCCAAATAACAAAAAAATTTGTCCTAAAAAGGGGCGAATCATTAGTAAAAAATTTTAATAAAAGTCTAACTTTTTCAAAAGAAATTGTCGAACTGTTGACCTTTAAAATTTGCTTTAGAAAAATATTTAGAGTCCCTTCCTGAAAAATGCTATTTACTCAGAAAAAAAATAATTTTCTTCTCTCAAATACACTTTACACAACACACCCACTACACCCCAACATACACACACATATACACAAAAACACACCACCTCATACCACCCCACCCCCTCCACACACATAACACCCAAAAACCCACACACAACAAACACACACACTCCCACACACATAAAACACACATAAAAAACCCCACTTTACACACACAAAATACACACGCCACACACTACACACACCCACAACACATACGCACAAAAATACACATCCCCTCAACCACGACATTTTTGTTTTCAAAACATTTTTTGTTTTTTTTTCTTTCAATGGGATCCACTTGACCACACAGGGAAATTCAGCGAGGAGGAACAGTTGCAACAGGGGATGTAACTGCGGGGAAAAAACAGCTACTTCCCCCCCTGTTGGAGACGATGGGGGGACCTACTACTCTTTGCCCACCCCCGGGCTGTCCCAGGCGGAGCTTTGGGGTCGTATAATTGCGGCGTTTTTTATCCCAAAAGGCTTCAAAACATTCATTTTGGGTTATGTTAGAACAAAATTTTTCAAAAGCTTAGAAATTCAGTGATCGAAACCCCCAAAAGTTTTTTCATACCCAGCCACTTTGTTCCCCCCGGGTTTTTATTTGTATCAGATTCATACCCTTTTTCTTAGGGCCCTTCTTTAAACGTTTTTTTTTTTTATTTGAAGCCCCACTCTGGTTTTTTGCCAGGGGCCGGAAATATAGGCGGGTTTTCCCATTAGGCCAAATGTCTGAACCGGTTTTCTGGGCCCCTTTTCCACGGTGATCCTCATCCACATTGTGGCCCCTTTGTGGCATCGGGGGGTTTAAATCGTTTTGTGTGATGTCCTAGTGGGGAAAAAAGTCAGTCATTCGGGTTCTTTGAGATTCAAAAGGGCCCCAGAAAAACCCTGTGCTTGTGGCTATAAGGTTTAACATAGGGGTTCCCGGGGTTTTGGAAACCTTTTTGTTTCCCAAACCCATTGGGAGGGGAATCCAAACGGACCTAGGGGGGAACAGCTTAACAATTTTTAAGTAAAAACAGATTGTTTCAACCCTAAAAATTAAATTTATTATTTAAGAGATTTTTTAACATTTTAAATTTTATAACAAAAAGCCAGTTTTTGATATAAAAAAGGGTTTAAAAACTTCACACTGTATAAAGATTGAAAACTCTTACTGGGTTGGGATTGTTCTGTTCTATCTGCTTATGTATGCTAATGTTGTGGGTTTAATATGCTTCACATTCTGCAACAATGACTTCAGTTAACAATGTATATATTTGGTTGAGCCGCTTCGCTTCACATTCTGCAACAATGACTTGGGTTAACGATGTATATATTTGGTAGAGCCGCTGTGCTTCACATTCTGCAACAATGACTTGGGTTAACGATGTATATTTTGGGTAGAGCCGCTTTGCTTCACATTCTGCAACAAAGACTTTGGTTAACGATGTATATTTTTGGTTGAGCCGCTTCACTTCACATTCTGCAACAATGACTTAAGTTAACATTGTATATATTTGGTTGAGTCAGGTGTACCAGAACTGCTCCTGTATCCCTGGTGGCAGTGCTAGAAGCGGTACCTGCGACTACACCTGTTCAGACCTGTATATTTACGCGGTGTTGATGGGCATCCGTTTGCTGACCAACACACTGACCATCATCCCCAAGACGATTGTGGTCATCAGGTAAGACAGAAATTATTGTGTCCATCAGGTAAGACAAAAGTGATTGTGGTGATCAGGTAAGACAAAAGTGATTGTGGTGATCAGGTAAGACAAAAGTGATTGTGGTGATCAGGTAAGACAAAAGTGATTGTGTCCATCAGCTAAGACAAAAGTGATTGTGGTGATCATGTAAGACAAAAGTGATTGTGTCCATCAGGTAAATCAAAAGTGATTGTGGTGATCAGGTAAGACAAAAGTGATTGTGGTGATCAGGTAAGACAAAAGTGATTGTGTCCATCAGGTAAGACAAAAGTGATTGTGGTGATCAGGTAAGACAAAAGTGATTGTGGTGATCAGGTAAGACAAAAGTGATTGTGGTGATCAGGTAAGACAAAACTGATTGTGTCGATCAGGTAAGACAAAAGTGATTGTGGTGATCAGGTAATGACAGAAAGTGATTGTGTGAGTCAGGTAGGACAAAAGTGAATTTGGTTGATCAGGTATTACAAAACCTGATTGTGTCGATCAGGTAAGACAAAAGTGATTGTGGTGATCAGGTAAGACAAAAGTGATTGTGGTGATCAGGTAAGACAAAAGTGATTGTGGTGATCAGGTAAGACAAAAGTGATTGTGGTGATCAGGTAAGACAAAAATGATTGTGTCGATCCGGAAAAACAGAGATGATTGTGTCCATCAGGTAAGACACAGATCTTATTGTCGATCAGGTAAGACAGAGATTATTGTGTCGATCCGGTAAGACAGAAATGATTAGTGTCGATCCGGTTAATACGATATGATTGTGTTTGTAAGTGAAAGTGCGGATCCGGTAAGCCGAGATGAATTGTGTCCGGTCCGGTAAGACAGAAATGATGGTGTTCGATCCGGTAAGACAGAGATGATTGTGTCGATCCGGTAAGACAGAGATGATTGTATCGATCCGGTAAGACAGAAATGATTGTGTCGATCCGGTAAGACAGCGATGATTGTGTCGATCAGGTAAGACAGAGATGATTGTGTCGATCCGGTAAGACAGAGATGATTGTGTCGATCCGGTAAGACAGATCTGATTGTCGATCAGGTAAGACAGAGATGATTGTGTCCATCCGGTAAGACAGAGATGACTGTGTCGATCAGGTAAGACAACGATGATTGTGTCGATCCGGTAAGACAGATCTGATTGTCGATCCGGTAAGACAGCGACGATTGTGTTCATCCGGTAAGACAGAAATGATTGTGTCGATCATTGCTGGCAAAAAAAAATAAACCCACTGCCTTTCTAACAAGCATGTCCTAAGAGTCCACTAATCATGGGTGTTTCCTTTGAAGACAGAGTGTATGTGGCTGTGAGGCAAGCAGCCAATAATCTGCATACAAGTAAACCTGATTTGTAAAACAGATGCGCACGCAACACACAAGTTGTAGAACAGGACTAAAGTCCAGAAGTGAGCGAACAACCTCAACTTTCACCAGAGTTTGCAGCCGCTGAAAGCGAAGAAGAAGATCTACAGTCTTTACTTTCAATATTATCACAGAACCAACGTTGCCTGTCTGTCTGTCTGTCTGTCTGCCTGCCTGTCTGCCTGCGTGCCTGTTTGTCTGTCTGTCTGTCTGTCTGTCTGCCTGCCTGCCTGTCTGACTGTCTGCCTGTCTGTCTGTGTGTCTGTCTGTCTGTCTGCCATTTGTGTAAGTCTCATCAAGGCTGCGACCTGAAGCTTTGACCACTTCTGAGACCTTAAAATGTCTTATGCTGGCTTTCAGACAGTGGTACGAAATTCACACCGTAAAAAAAAGATTGAAGCCCCATTATGTAATAAGCCCACAGCTAGCTGTTGCAGTAGAGAACTCAGGCGTCGTATACTAACACATTGTTATTTTTTTTAAGCCGCTGTGGTGTAGCGGGTAGACGCTCGCCTGTGGACCTGAAGGTTGTGGGTTCGGGTCCTGACGGAGCAATACATTTTTTTTTTCAAAAATGACCTCCGCTGTCAGGTTGGCCCAGCCTTAAATGGATACTGGGTAAAGTCCTGGGAAGTTGTTTTTTTTCATCGAACACCGGCTGTGAATTCCAGTGGAAGGTCAGGTAATCGTCCGCTTGGACTTTTGGCTTTCACCTGGACCTGATTTTTGCGTGTACAACCGTTTTTTATTTCCCTGCCTCATGGGCAGCTGTACGCCGACTTCGAAGGAAGACGTCAGGCCTATTTCTAGGGTGACTGTGGCCATTGTTTTGTGTGGGTCGAGACGTTGCCTGATTTGTGTGGTGTCCACTTCGTCTCCTTTGCCGCAGGCATTGCCCCCGGAGTACCCCCTTTGGGTCGGCCCCCTGTGGAACAGTTTAGCCCTCAAGGGAAGGCAGGGGCAGATCTTGGGCATTCCCCGCCATCCAAGGAGGCATCCATGTATGCAGAGCCGACACATGGCGCTCTGTTTCTGGGCTCACCCAAGGAATCGTCACGTCCTGCACAAGCCTGCTTAACCTCACAACCGTATCAGGCCTCCCGCTCGACAGGGGCTGCGCCCTCTGGGGGTCAGCGGTGAGCATCCCTCGTTTTTTGGACTTTTGTAACCACACAGATAGGTACATTCTTTTTTTTTTTTTTCCTCGCACGTTAGATTTCTTTGACGAGCCGTTAGCCCGACAGATTTTACATCCTGCATCATAAGGCATATCGTTATCAGTTTTGTCCCAACACTCGGGCGAGTGGTGTCTTTGGGGTGTGGATATTCGGTCTTTTTCAGTTCAATTCAAATTTTGAGGTCAGATTTTTGATCCGTATGATCTAGTTTTGTCGGAAATTTAGGCTTAGCCATCCGATCGATGGATGGTTGCTGTTGTGGTGTACCACAGCGCGGTGACGACGACACTGAGGGTTTACCAGGACATGAATGGCCAGCCTATGGATAGTTGCTGTTGTGGTGTACCCCAGCGCGGTGACGACGACACTGAGGGTTAACCAAGGATGTACATGAATGGCCAGCCTAGGGATGGTTGCTGTTGTGGTGTACCCCAGCGCGGTGACGACGACACTGAGGGTTAACCGAGGATGTACATGAATGGCCAGCCCATGGATGTTTTCTGTTGTGGTGTACCCCAGCGCGGTGACGACGACACTGAGGTTACAGAGGATGTGCAGTGAACAATGTTCTCTTTATTCCGCAGTCTTTTAACCAAGGGTTGTAATTTTGGCTGTACGTTTTGGCAGACCTACTCATGTTCCTAATGAGTTTTGTTAACAATTTTTTCACCCAAGCGTTTGGGGCGGGCTGATGAGAGCCACAAGGACACATCACCTCTGGGGGCCGCCAAACTCCGAGATCCCCTGGCAGCTCTGTTAATGCTCATTTGAGACATTATCCGTGGCGCACGACGAGGACGTGCTGCCGGGGTCTTGCGTGAGGTTCCGTTCAACCAGGATATTAAAGGACTGGCGCCCGAGTGACGTACGGAGTATCTCCTTATACACATCATGTTGGACTTAACTTCCCCTCACGCCTGTGACATAAATCACCGCGCCACAACCCCTGGGAAGTAAAGGCGGTCGGCGTGATGCTGATCACAACACCCGACGAGTACCGAATGGTCTATAAAATGTAAGTCTAGCCCTATATGCCCAATATGCATGAAGGCGTAGAAAGGTGTCCTTTACTTTTATTATTAATAATTTTATTATTTATTATTTTATGTTAGTTGCGTATCCTTTACAGGACGTTGCAGAACCAACCCCAACTACCCCTGGCTGTTGTGTGGTTTTTCTAGGCAAATTTACGTCCAGTAGTTTGCCATTGCCTCTGGACGGTCGGCTTTCTTGATACCACTGTCGAAACCAATGCAAGACGCATGGCCCGCAGCTGGGGTCGAACCCGGCATCCCAGTATTACGAAGCGTTAGCATCGACTTAGCCACAGAGCCGACAATATTTATTGTACTGTGTGTCAAATATTTACTGATTAATGGTTTAAAAATCGACATCATAGCACACCGGGCATACCCAAAGATGCTCTGTCTCCCGCAACAAATGACGTAAGGTGTAGATAATAACCGTTCCCGTAGCTGAGTGATTATACACACGTCGTTCTCTTCTGTCATCCGTCCCTCCTTGCCGGATCCACTCTTAATTCCTCGTTTGTACATTCTTGCCTATGTTATTTCACCTAATCTCGCGTCTTCTGTCAACATTCTTTCATCTTTCATATATGGTCTTCAAATTATCTCCCTTGTCCAATGCGAGTGTTCCCGTAGCTTTCACTTTTATAGCCAGAAAATCCGCTCTGTCGTGATCAATCTAATAATATTCTTGAATAATAGGAAATGTATAAACAAGTACTTTAAAAAAGAAAATGTCTATACATTATTAAATGGGGTCTTTTATCCCCTTTACAAAGTCACGGCCTCGTCTTTACCTTTAGCTCTAATTTTCATACTGTCGTCTTTTTTTCTTGTTCAACAATCTCTAAATGCTGTTTTCTAAACGACAGCAAAGGGACTTTAGTGTTTCACAGTAGTTTTCTACAGTTGATTCCTTGCGTCCTTTTTAGGACGTAACTTTTTGTTATTTGAAGCCCCACTCTGGCTTTTGCCAGGGCCGCAATATAGGCAGGCCATCAATATGGCCAATTGTCTGAACGCAGTTTCTGAGACCTCTCCACGGTGATCCTCATCTGCATGGTGGCACTTTGTGTCATCGGGTGTTTGTCGCTGGTGGGGTAGAAAGTCAGTCAGTCAGTCAGTGTTTCACATATGTTTTTTTTTTAACTGGTTCATTTCCAGACGATTGCCACTGACTAGCCTGATAGTATAAAGTGTACTATTTACATTCTATGGCAGCGTAGGACTTGCTGAAGGTTGGATGGGTGTGGTCTTGAGTCTGAGGGATTAAAGGATGCATAGCTAGTCTTCTTCTTCTTCACGTTCACCAGCTGTAAACTCTGGTTGCTCGTCCACTACTGAACTGCAGTCCTGCTCCAGAACCTGAGTGTTGCGTGTGCATCAGTTTTACAGATCTCATTCTCTTGAATACAGACTGTTGGTTCCTTGCCTCTCCGGCAGATGCACTCCGACTTCAAAGGAAGCTTCCCAATTAGTCGACTCTTACGACATGCTTTTGGAGAGGCAGTGGGTCTATTCTTGTTTTCCCCACAATGGGGCCCCGGAACCCACACGGGGGGCATAGCTAGTGCAGTCGCCACAAACTTTGCAGGTTATGATGTTTAAAAAAAAAAAACAATGTATAACCTTAACAATGATTCGAACCTGGATGATATCCCAGTGCGCCATTGGCACAGCCACGGGGCAGTTAGGAGACGACCCCGTCTGCAGTAGTGTTCAAACCTCGACTAACTACTAATAAATAATGTGCCAGGTTTCTAACTACTCTGCCACTACAGTTATATTTCTGCATGAAAGCAATCATTTTCCAAAAATCCCAAACAACTTTGTTTTAAAAAATACGCTTTCTCTTTAACTAAACATTTGTTTTATTTGCAGAAGCGTTTCTGAAAAGGATAAAGCTATGGCTTTGTCGGTCATGCCGTTTCTGATTGCATTGCTCGGTAAGAAAATGTTTATCCGAAGACCCTTGCTTTTATCTTAATTATCTTTGTTTGATTGCATTGTTTAATTTACCAGCTGTCGAGGTACCAACATCGCTGCAACATAGTCGCCCCAGAGCTTCTCCGTTCCTGTGCCAGGGAAAATCACACAAAATGTCCCTGACTCCATAGTGAAAACTAGTGAAAAAACTTGTCCCTTCCAGCGAACTCGTGAAGTTTTCACACGCACAGTAAAAATGCGTAAGACAGCCGTCAGATGTACCAACACTGTCGGTCCCACGCCAGAATTGCAGCTCGCCGTTGTTGCAGACGGTCTTCATGAAATCCGGCATTGCACCCGCAAGAATCCACATCCTTCTGAACTGACTCGGTCATTCGCCATTTTAGCTGTCTTAAAAAATGAGTCTGACTGACTGACTGACTTTCTACTCCACCAGGACATCACACAAGCGATAAACACCCGATGACACAAAGTGCCACCATATGGATGAGGATCGCAGTGGAGAGGTCCCAGAAACCGCGTTCAGACATTTGGCCATATTTATGGCCTGCCTATATTGCGGCCCCTGGCAAAAGCCAGAGTGGGGCTTCAAATAACAAAAAATTTCGTCCTAAAAAGGACGAAACTGGATTTATAAAATGAGTCTGGCCCGATGCACCTTTAGTGGGCCAGACTCATTTTAGTGTGATAAGGATCTATGACTTACCTTTCTTTATTATTGAATGCTATGAATAATTATCAATGTTATAATATCGAGTCGGGGAAAAGGCACGAGGGGTGCTGCAGTTCTATGCATGAACCGCCATGGAAGCCAGTAAGTGTTTGGCGCTTGTTTGGTTACATCCGGGTTGCTGTATCTGTTGTTAATATCGCTGTTTCTGCATTTGGTGTCCTTACAATTCATGTTATTGGTGTGTGTGCGCGTGCGCGTTTGTGTGTGTGTGTGTGGGGGGGGGGGTTGTTTCTGTAGTTCTTGTTGCTGCTGCTGCTGTTCTGAGTTAGGAAGATTATTTTCATGTGTAGTTACTGCTCGTTTGATCACGAAAACAACGAGTGTTGAAAACTGCAGTGACTGCACTCAAGCTAAGACCAAGAAATTAATCCACTCAGTTGTGGTTAAGAAGCAACAACAAAAACTGAGGAGGGCAGGGGGCAGGTGACGCACACACACACACACACACACAGAGAGAGAGAGAGAGAGAGAGGAAGATGTGTGGGTGTGAGTGCATTGTGTCCCTTTTTCCCTCCCTCTCTTTGTTGAGCTTCTTAACAACGATGTGCCCAGGGTAGAGCAGGTAGCGCAGATGTTTTGGATGCTCCCGGAAAGAAGAGCTTGGGGGGGGGGGACTTTTTAAAGCGGCAGCGTCTGATCTGGACGAACCACAATTAGTTTCAATGTGTTGAATTTCCCGTGTGGATTCCGGGGCCCTGCTAGAGAAAAAACAAGAATAGACTCACTGCCTACGCAGAATTATGTCGTAAGAGTCGACTAATTGGGAGCTTCCTTCAAACTCGGAGTGCATCTGCCTGATAGGCAAGGAACCAGCAGTCTGCATACAAATGAGTCAGATCTGTAAAACGGATGCATACGCAACACTCAGGTTCTGGAAAAGGACTGCAGAAGAAGATTTTGTTGAATATCCGTTGAATATATGTCATGGAGAAGTGTGTGAAACTAGTATTTCACAACCTTTTTACGGGCGCGACCCACCAAAACTGGGCAAATCGTTTCTCGGCCCACCGGCCTGCTAATCACACACAGAAATAACAACAAACGTGGAAACCAGTTTATTTGTTCCGTCCGATGTCACCAAATTTTAACTTTCCGCTAACATTATAATATCTACTGCCAGTTAGAGGTTAGAAAATCTTATACTTGTGGCTTCTCATAGACGAAGCGCTGCAAAAAAAAGTCTTTTTAAACAAGCAGGAACTACCCAACAAAAAAAAAACGACAATTCTGTTTCGAGTGATATCCAAAATTAATACAAAATTTCATTCAAATGTGGAGACGAATGATATCAGAAGACAACTGGATCGGCTTTTTTATTTATTTATTGATAATACACATTTACATTTAACATCTTTAAATGCAGACTTGTTATATCACTTGTTCTCATTCTTGTGGTGTTGATCTTACATACTGCAATTCTGAGTGAGAAATGCTACCTACCCTCGCCATTACATGATTAGGCAGAAATGTCTGCCGGCCCGCCTGGAGTTTTCCGCGGCCCACGGGTTGAAGCACTGATCTAATCTACACATTTATCATTCTACAGGCTGGCTGCTGTCGCCAATCGTCTTCGGCAACGCCATCGACAGTACTTGCCAGATCTGGGACATCAAATGCCAAAAGACCGGCCGCTGTCTTCTCTACGATAACAACAGTTTCCGGGTCAAACTCCACGGCTACGGAACTCTGGGAATCTCGCTGGGGCTCGTGTTTCTCGTACTCACTTACCTCTTTGCCAGATACACTAAATGTTTAGACAAAGCTGCCAAAAACGACGTCCTTCCAGATAAAACTGCGATGGCTCTTATTAATGTAGAATACAATGGAGAAAAAAAACTTGCCTGTTAGCGACACAGAAGAGAACAATTCTCAAAGTAATGGGGAAACAAAAACAAAAGCAGAATATTAACAAATAGACACTAGTTTATTGTTGATACTGCAGTTTCCACGAGAATAAGACCTAATCAGAAATTTCAGATACTGTTAATAAAATTGCACCCGAACTATAAGCCCTAGTTTAGTCCAGACAGGCAGACGGACATATCGAATGTAGAGTCATGATTCTGTAATTTAGGATAAGCAAAATTATTGATATTAATGCTTAGATTCTAGTACATAAACAACAAAATATTCCCTGGAAATAAGCCCTATGTCGTATTTTGCAGCACACATTAACATAAGATCCGGCCTTATTCTCGGGGCAAAGTTAATTATTGCAGTTTGTTGTTTTCAGAAGAGGGGGTCGAATGGTCAAGCCATTCGCCTCTCGCTCTAATGGTCACGGGTTTTGTTTCACGGAGCCTGTCTTTAAATTCACACCTGCATTTTTACAGATCTTTTGGGAATCGTCGCTGGAACTACGGAGTTCGTGCTGTGTGCGACACTGTCGGCAGGCGACTAGTCATTCTGCGGAGAGAGATCGAACCATTTAGAATAAAACCCGGTGAACTGAAGTCGATACACTGGACTTTATTATGTATCTGAAAAGCTTTGTGAGGGAGCGTCTTGTATCAGTTTGTAAGGGAGAGTCTTGTATAAGTTTCTAAGGGAGAGTCTTGTATCAGTTTGCAAGGGAGAGTCTTGTATCAGTTTGTAGAGGAGAGTCTTGTATCAGTTTGTAAGGGAGAGTCTTGTATCAGTTTGTGAGGGAGAGGCTTGTATCAGTTTGTGAGGGAGAGTCTTGTATCAGTTTGTGAGGGAGAGTCTTGTATCAGTTTGTGAGGGAGAGTCTTGTATCAGTTTGTAAGGGGGAGTCTTGTATCAGTTTGTGAGGGAGAATCTTGTATTAGTTTGTAAGGGAGAGTCTTGTATCAGTTTGTGTCGTTACAGACTGTTATTATTTAAAAGTTTAATATTTCCGGTTTGGTTTTCCTAATGATGTTAATTTGCGACGTCCTAAATAAGATACACGGGTCAAACAAACGTAGTCTCCCCACAGAAAATAGGTCAGTTTCTAGACTGAAGGTCGACCAATCAGAAGTGAGCTAGTGTGTATATGGGCGGTCCGTGGGGAGGACAATGCAACTGTTACCGATACACGAGAATTGTATGTTTTTAGGTGAGGGGAATGTGTGTAGGTGTGATCATGTGAGCGTGGGTAGGATAAGAAACATTCTGTGGCCAGAGTAGCGGGCTAGCGTCAAGCCAGAATCATTCTGGGAACCATTGCTTTTCAGTTGCCAGTTGTGTAATTCAAATGTTTACTCACCCACGCACAATGAAATAAACACAATATGACTGTGAGTCATTTATTCGTTTCTTTTCTTTCAACGCACTGTAAACTTTATGTTGTTCTCGCATACTTAAATATGTGCATCTAAAATAGACACATTGACTGATACAGCTGTGAGTTGTCATTTGTGAACTTCAGCGGAAAGGATTCCTGTATGTGCTTCAAACCGTGTTGTTTTCATGGAGTACATCAGGAAATTTATAAGAATGAAAGAAGACATGATTGCAGAAAGGATGAGCGTTGAGCGTCTGGGAAGAAACACACTAAACAAAAATGTTAAAACAAGTCCTGAAACCCCATGCTATAACTGTGGAAGACTTTTCTTGCTAGTCACACTCGCCATCGCCATGGGCTGTGAGTCTGGAAGGACGAAAATTGGCACTATAATATATTGTTCTTCAATTGATGCAACTCTGTAATCGTCGAATAACAAGATGACGAATACGACGAGATTCAAAATTTATGAAGCTTGTGTCCCGAGCACGCTTCCATAGAGAAGCTAAACCACCTGGACTCTACACGCTACACCATGTTACTATAGGGAAGCTAAACCACCTAGACTCTACACGCTACACCATGTTACTATAGGGAAGCTAAACCACCTGGACTCTACACGTTACACCATGTTACTATAGGGAAGCTAAACCACCTGGACTCTACACGCTACACCATGTTACTATAGAGAAGCTAAACCACCTAGACTCTACACGCTACACCATGTTACTATAGAGAAGCTAAACCACCTAGACTCTACACGCTACACCATGTTACTATAGGAAAGCTAAACCATCTGGACACTACACGCTACACCATGTTACTATAGGGAAGCTAAACCACCTAGACGCTACTCCATGTTACTATAGAGAAGCTAAACCACCTAGACTCTACACGCTACACCATGTTACTATAGGGAAGCTAAACCACCTAGACGCTACTCCATGTTACTATAGAGAAGCTAAAACACATGGACTCTACATGCTACACCATGTTACTATAGGGAAGCTAAATCACGTGGACTCTACATGCTACACCATGTTATTATAGGGAGCTAAACCACCTGGACTCCACATGCTACACCATGTTACTATAGGGAAGCTAAACCACCTGGACTCTACACGCTACACCATGTTACTATAGAGAAGCTAAACCACCTAGACTCTACACGCTACACCATGTTATTATAGGGAAGCTAAACCACCTGGACTTTACATGCTACACCATGTTACTATAGGGAAGCTAAACCACCTGGACTCTACACCCTACACCATGTTACTATAGGGAAGCTAAACCACCTGGACTCTACACCCTACACCATGTTACTATAGGGAAGCTAAACCACCTGGACTCTACATGCTACACCATGTTACTATAGGGAAGCTAAACCACCTGGACTCTACACCCTACACCATGTTACTATAGGGAAGCTAAACTACCTGGACTCTACATGCTACACCATGTTACTATAGGGAAGCTAAACCACCAAGACTCTACATGCTACACCATGTTACTATAGGGAAGCTAAACTACCTGGACTCTACATGCTAAACCATGTTAGTATAGGGAAGCTAAACCATCTGGACTCTACATGCTATACCATGTTACCATAGGGAGCTAAACCACCTGGACTCTATATGCTACATCATGTTACTATAAGAAGCTAAATCACCTGGACTCTACACGCTACACCATGTTACCATAGGGAAGCTAAACCACCTGAACTCTACACGCTACACCATGTTACATTTAAAGTCGCCCCCTTGTGGGATGCAAATGTGTTGTTATTTTGAAGCCCTATCTTGGCTTTCGTCGGGAGCCCTAAAAATAGCCGGGCCATAAATATGGTCTAACGGTTAAACGGGGTTTCCAGAACCTCTCCACTGGTGATCCTCATCCGCGTGGTGGCACCTTGTGTCACCGCGTGTGTATCGCTTGTGTGATGCCCTGGTTAGGTACAACTTACCTATCTACATGCTTCTCAAGAAAAGAAAAAAAGATAGAATACCTTCTACGCGCACTGTGTGAAGCGCATTCTTAGCATGTGAAGATGAGACCTTGCCCGCAAATAATATCTACTCAGAAAAGCAGGAATGCCAATAATGCATTTTACTGAATCAAAGTCGTCTGCGCTGGTTGGGTCATATCCCTCACATCAATGTCGGTCGAATTCCAAAGGAGCTCCTAATGGTGAACTGTAATTAGGGGTAAAGGAAGGCCAAGGCTACACTTTAAAAATATATCATATGCAAAGATGAACTAAAAGATACCATCATTGGCACATACATTTGGAGAAATCAGTCACAGATAGACTCCTGTGGGGGCAGACAGTGAAACACTGACTGTAGCAGTTTGCACAAGACCTAACACGCCAAGATATAGAGAGGAGGAAACGTCTAAGAAAAAAACAGTGGCAACGTCGTAGAGTATCAATGTTTCGTGCAAAAGGTGACCAGAGACTGCCAATCATCCATTGGACTTTACAGCCAGACGCTGTTGCCAAAACCAGCTCCACAATGCCATGGTCCTCGAGACTGATGGTTGTCTACCAACTCCACAGAAATCAACTGGCGGCATGACTGACTGACTGACTTTCTACCCCACCAGGACATCACACAAGCGATAAACACCCGATGACACAAAGTGCCACCATGAGGGTGAGGATCACCGTGGAGAGGTCCCAGAAACCGCGTTCAGACAATTGGCCATAATGATGACCTGCCTATATTGCGGCCCCTGGCAAAAGCAAGAGTGGGGCTTCAAATAACAAAAAATTACGTCCTAAGAAGGACGTAAAGAATAATAACTGACGGCATATGTTGAAATATGTAAAGTAATAAATTATGCAAGTTATCACAAGGGGAAAACGTTTTGAAACTGAAGTCAAACGTTTGAGAACATGCACCTTATGGCATTATGGTTGGCACCTTTTTATCTTTAGGTATGACAGTCTGACTGACTGACTTTCTACCCCACCAGGACATCACACAAGCGATGAACACCCGATGACACAAAGTGCCATCATGTGGATGAGGATCACCCGTGGAAAGGTCCAAGAACCGCGTTCAGCAAATAGGCCATATTTATGACGGGCTATATTGCAGCCCCTGGCATGAGCCAGAGTAGGGCTTCAAATAACGAAAAATTGCATCCTAATAAGGACGGCAGGATTAGACGGGTAGCTTATAAGGGACGACAGTATTATATCGTGCTTTACAAAGGCTTAATAATTACAACTCATGGTGATGCTGAATGTGACTGGCAAGACCCGCTCTCATTTGGGTAAGTCTTCCAGGATTAGGTCATACGATTTTAAAATAATTTCTGCCATATTACTAGTGCATAATGACGAATCTCTGACACTAACACTTTTGCGTGACATGGTAGTAAAGCATGATGAAGCACGACAATGCCGCCCTAGAGGCTTGTATACGAGACAATATAACCAACTTCTCATGAGAACAATTAGTATAAGTACCCTGGAGTGGCTGCTGCATCGAAGGACTGAGCACGCATGAGAATGCCCAATGTGCAATGGCGTCGATTGTGATAACATAACATTGCAAGTATTTAGAGTTTTTCTTCTTAGACACTCAGCTCTTGACCTTTTTGCAATCATTGTCTCTTTTATCCCTATTACCTTCCTGCCTTGCCCCTCCGTGACATCCTGTTCTTACAACTCTACCACAATACCGGTATCACCCATGTCCCTCTTGCATACACATCTTTATACTGTAGTGGAGGCCAGCCTTAACAACTTCTACATCTCTATAATTCACCATAGAGGACTTCGTTAGGGATTCTACCATCCTCTATCCTCCATCCTCCATCCCCCAAGTGTGTCCTAGCTATCTCAGACTTCGAATACTGAGCACTGAGATAAATTCTGATTCCTGCTCTTGCCAGAGGCAGCTTACAGGTGCGCGTAATGGTCAATTTATACATATGCGAGTAATGGCTAGTTTATACAGATGCGAGTAATGGCCAATTTATACAGGTGCGAGTAGTGGCCAATTTATACAGATGCGAGTAATGGCTAATTTATAGAGGTGCTAGTAATTGCCAATTTATACAGGTGCTAGTAGTGGCCAATTGATAGAGGTGCTAGTAGTGGCCAATTTATACAGGTGCTAGTAGTGGCCAATTTATACAGGTGCTAGTAATTGCCAATTTATACAGGTGCTAGTAGTGGCCAATTGATACAAGTGCTAGTAGTGGCCAATTTCGGACTCGATACTATAGAAAATCACGCATTGGAACATGGAAGTTTGTGAAACATTCTTAAAATGTGGTAGATTAATAAAAACAGAACCACACACAAATTTAAAAAAAAAAAATCTTTTTTTTTTTTCAGCATGTGTGCGTAATCAGAAAACCACACAGGGAACACAAAACGGTTGTACACGCAAAACTCAGGTCCAGGTAAAAGCCAAAAGTCCAAGCGGACGACTAACCGGGACCTTCCGCCGGAATTCACAGCCGGTGAACGACGAAGAAGAAGAAGGAAACCACAGTTCCAGCTTCATATCAAACGGTTCCTCCCTCAATCGCTCTGTTGCTGTGTCAACGAAAACTACACAGAATATTTACCACTGCCACTGGGGGTGCGTGGGGGGGGGGGGGGGTTGAATGACAGACTTCGGTCGAAGTAAATAAAACAGCTTATACTGCGTATTGTCCACAAACGACAATCATACACGATAACATAAAGTTGCCGCTATATAGAAAGACTTCATTAACATACAACACCACCAGACAATGATACTCCTTTTTTGTTTTTTGTTTTGTTCACACGCTGTGAGTGTGTAAATCAGTTTTACTGGCTTGTTTGTGTGCAGCCTGTTGTTCTTTGCCTCTCAGGCATATGCACTCTGATTTCTAAGGATAACCCCAATTAGTTGACTCCTACGACATGTTTGTCAGGGAGGCAGTATGTCTATTCTCGTCCCCCCCCCCTCCCCCACACGCACACACAATGGAGCCCGGAACCCACAGTGAAGGCAAATGATACAATAGCAAACAACAATAAATTTAAGATAAAATCTTTATCTGTCGAAACATCACTATAACACTAGCAAAGAAGTAAATTATATCCGTGAAACATGTACACAGAAACTCAAGTTCTCGAGTAAGACCAAAGTCCAGAAGCGGACGAACAACCAGAAATTGCAGGCGAAGTTTACAGAAGGTGAAGGCCAGAAGACTCGTTGTCATTTTTAGCTACATTTAGCCACTCATTTAGCCACACGGGGAAGCGCGAGGGACAGACAGAGACAAGATGGCCCCACAGAGAACCTACGACAACCCTCAAGGAGTTAACGCAGTTTTACTGGGACCTCCTGGGTCTGGAAAGGGCACACAGGTTGGTATCTCACAGACTGAAGTCTCCTATGTTGATTTTGCTCTCATCTTATGTTCAGATAATGAGCATTTTTGTCTCTAATCGTAGAATAGACAGTCTTAGTAATATGACTGCGCCCTTTAAACTTAACCTCTCCTTCTTTCTTATTACATGTACTGACTACAGTCATTACTTCTGTTTCTTCTTCATCAGCAGTCCTAGCCGTTGAGGTTCATGCTGCGGATATTACCCGCTTCCATTAATCTCTGTAAGTGTAATTGCCCTTGTCTTGCCTGTCCAACAGGAGCTCTAAATTTCTGCTGTATTTTTAAGTACGTGATCAATGCAAAAGTCGGAGCTTTAAACTTATATTTATACATTTTTTACGTTGTCTTGTGTGGCTTCTGTAGTACCTTTTTTTTTTTCAAGTATAGTTTTTCTCCATCTTCTAGTTTTAGCTCCAGGCTAACTTTGGTTGGCTATCCTCTGAATAACGGGCACTGAAGATGGCTGCCACAAAATATCCTTTCAAGCCGCAGTCACTTGACTTAATTTGTGGTTTTCCAGCGATTTTCTGTCGACTACTGCTACCATGCTGATGCGGCGTGGATTGGGGCTAAACTAGATGGCTAGGACTCACGAGCAAAGCTGCAGGAGATGCGGAAGCTGCAGGAGATGTGGAAGCTGCAGCTCGTGGGTCCTAGCCATTTAGTTTAGCCCCAGTCCACGCCACTCACACGGCATGGGGGACCCGTAGTCGCCGGAGAACCACAAATTAAGTCGCCGGACATGCGCAATTGACACGAGACTGCGGCTTGGAGGGATATTTTGCGGCCGCCATCTTTAGTGCCCGTTATTCGGAGGATAGGCCTTTGGTCTAATTTTCTACATTATTTTTATTTTCAATAATTCAACTATCAAAGTTGTTCTATCCTCCGACTATGGGCACATATTATGGCGGCCAAAAACACATCCTAACAGGGCTTCAGTCACATGTAAATTGCGGAGTTCCAGCGACTTAAATTGCGGACTTCCGGCGACTACCACCACCGCAGAGAGTATCACCCACGCCGCTACGCGCGGCGTGGAGTGGGGCTAAACTAGATGGCTGGGACTCACGAGCAGCTACCGCATCTCCTGCAGCTTGCTTCATTTTATTTGCTCGAGAGTCCCAAATATGAAAAAATATATGAAACCATCATGGCTGTGCCGCCTCTCATCACCCTACAATTTAAGAATTGAATTTGCAGACATTTTTCAACAACTAGTTGAAATGTGCCAGATAAAGATGAAATGCAATTAAACTGTATACAAATTAACATTGTCTGGTTTGCATAATTTATGATTGATTACAACTCGATGTTGTTTAACCCCATCTGTATTCAGTTGCCTAGGGCAGCTGCATGGCACTATATGATTTAAGAATTTAGAGAAGAGTACGACTGACTGACTCAGCAATTTAAAACTTTGTGGCATTCTTGTGTCTCAAATTCACTGATCTTTATACGAGTGTTGTGGACCTAGACCCTTGTCAAGCATGTTGTAAAAGGCGATTAATTAAAAATTTGCAGAAATACAATGTGTTGGGGCAGCGGTGTGGCAAGGTCAGGTCACTTAGTTTTACCATTCTGTCGCCTCCCCTCCACACACACAAACACCCCAATATATATTTTATTTCTTCTTCTTTCGTTCGCCACATGGCGTGTATGCGTGGCATCCTGATTGCTGTGATGCGCCTCTTGGCTGGTTGCCTCCGACTTCAGCACCTTGTTTTGCTAGGGTAGACTGATCATACTCGAGGAGAGTAGGCTCATCCATTCGTCTTTCACCATTACCTCGTTTGTTGTCCAATCCAGTTTCCCGTTTGGGGTTGAGACCCCAACCTTCAACTGGATTGCTGGGAAGAACAGGGTCCACCACGTGAAGGTGAGGTAGGCTTGAGCAAGAGAGGCTAATAGACATTAAGAGTCTTGTATTGCGCATCATTGCTCCATTAGGACCCCTATATTTTTTTTTTTTAAACACATATTTTTGCAGTTTTTTCCACCCCACAGTAAAGACACCAAGGGTGACCCACAACCCCCTTCTTACCCCTCTGGTGTTGGGTCTAAAGGCACAAATGTCACACCCTAGCTGTAAACCACATTATATGCACATTATATGGTTATAGTGCACAAACGGCCTTTTCAACTAACAAAATAAAATTATTTATTACCTGTACGTTGTATGTTTTAAACAAAACTTCAAAGAAAATAAAAATTGCACTTGTATGTTTGTTCTTTCAGGCACCACTGCTGGCCAAGACCTACAGTGTCTGCCATTTGTCGACGGGTAATCTTTATATTTTATCGTTATCATGTACTTCGTCAGAAGGCACTGACATTCATTGTGATAGTAATTTGTTTGTCTTTTTCTGTGCTGATCGTAATTGTAATAATGATAAAATTATTAAATAATGATATCCTATTCAATCCAATTACGATATATAGTTTTTATTTTTTTCCTATTTTAAAATCGGATATTTACGCTTGTTGCATAGAATGTGTATTAACTTTAAGAGACTGTTGGAGTATAGATTGTTAAGTTTAATATATTTTAAGTGTACTTTTTAAATAATTGTGATAATCATCTCATCTAATCTGTATTGCATTCATAACTCAAAAAGATTTCGGCCCTTATTCAGAATCATTTCTTGTGTGAATCTGTAGGCCCTGGGGAATGTATTCTGTTTAATGTGTCATTCTGTTTTTGTTTATTGATTACTCACTTTATATATTTTTATATGTTTCAAAACAGTCTTTTAGTGTAGATAAACATTTTTTTAAATTTATATTTAGTGATCTGTGTAAAACATGTTTTTGACAGTTTTTTTAGAATTCTCAGTTTTATGGCCATTTTTTATTAGCATTCATGGGGCAAAGCAATGAAGAATTTACTCTTTTGGTGCAAATTGATTTATCATGCGCTTACAGGTTGCTCCTTACATAATATATTTTTCTAAACACTGTTTCCTCTTGTAACTATCTTAAAACTCATGCTATTCCAAATTTTACTTCACCAGTGGTGTCCCTCAGTGTTGTCATTTGAACCCCTCTGGGTGTGAACACATTTCGCTGCATGTTCTCTACTGTTGAAAAGCACGTAAAAACACTGCGTCGTCTATGTGGTCTTGAGGCATAGTGTCTGCCTCCAGTGCTGGAGGTCCCAGGTTCAAGCCCCTGTGAAGGCTGCAATTTTGCACGTGGGCTTCTAGTAATTTCCCCTGGCTCTGGGTAGTAAGATTAGATGCGTGCGTGTTTTGTTGCGCGCGTAAAAAATTTCAGGATCCTCGCTGGTGTACAGAGTTTGTGCTGCGCTGAGATTCTTCAGACTTAGGCTTGAGTTAGAAGTAGAACAGAGCACTTATGAGTTACTACCCTTGTGCCACGATGTTGATCCGTTGTCCAAACATAAACGTAAAAGCACAGCTGGAGTTATGTTTGTAATGACACTGGCGATATGTTTATTTTTCTGATGTATGGAAAACTTTTATGACACCCTGAAGAAACATTTTACTTGAAAAGTGTATGAAACATATACCTGTTGGTTTTTTTGTGCACCAGGTGACATGCTCAGGGCAGTGATTGCCTCTGGGAGTGAACTAGGGAAGCGAATCCAAGGGGTCGTTGACTCTGGCCAGTTGGTCAGTGATGAGTTGGTTCTGGAGCTGGTCAATGATAACCTGAATAAACCAGAATGCAGGAATGGATTCCTATTGGATGGTTTTCCCGCACAATTGTTCAGGCAGAAAAGGTAAGTCAAGTAAAACTACGTCCTATTTATATGCGTTATGGCACATTTTTCTTTGTGTGTGATAAAACTGATCATTTTTTGGAATTCCTCTTTAGCTGCATACAGCTTTGAGTGGGATGTTGACTCATTGGGTCAGTATTCACTTCTTAATGCTCGCTGAAGATGACGTCAAGCGCAGAGCACATGCTCCGTAGCTCCGGTGACAATTGGGAACAAGTAACGGAATCAATAGAGAAAGAAGATTATTATGGCCTGGAGAGAAAGAGGCGCCTGGGTGTAACCAGAGGGTCTGGCCGGCTCACTACACTCAGAGGAAAGGCAAGGCAGATTTATAACCAGATTGTGACCGGTACCATCAGTAATGGAACTCTGCGTTGGCTGCTGAAGATGAGGACTGAGCATGCATGGGAATGCCCGAGTGCTGTGATATCAATTATTGAGTCAACTCAGCTCACTTCTGAATGGACAGTACAAGAGACAGTCTTGCAGGAATTGTTCTGCAGTTTCTGTGCACAGCCCACATGGGCACAGTGGTGAACTACTTAGATGAACGCTGTGAATATGTTTGCTCACTTTGTTATGTCCTGTCCTGAGGCATAGATTGATGATCTGGCCATGACGGTCAAGTAAATGCTGGTCATCATTGTCCTGGTTCATTTTGCTTCTGATACCCAGTGTGCACCCCCCCCCCCCCCCCCAATTTCCAGGCATGGGGTTTAAATATCTTCCTATCCCCAGGTGGGTTCCGGGGCTCAGTTGTAGGGAAAACAAGAATAGACCCGCTGCCTGCTCAAAAGCATGTCGTAAGAATCAACTAACTGGGAGCTTTCTTCAAAGTCAGAGTACATTTGCATGAGAGGCAAGGACCTAAGTCTGCATGCAAATGAGTCAGACCCTTGAAACGGATGTCCAGTAGTGGACGAACAACCAGAACTTTCAGCTGGAGCTTACAGCCGGTGAACGCGAAGAAGAAGAAGTTATCTTCCTTCCTGTTCACATTCTCTCCCCTTTCTAAGTAAGTTTGTCTACGGTTTATAAGAGCAAATCTAGAATGTGGTCTTCTGGTTTGTTCTTATTTTTTTTTTCTGCCTACTTGTAGCGTAGGCTGTCAGTCCTCTTGTCCTTATTCTATTGTTGTTTTGATATCCTTTTCCATATTATTTGTTGTTAATGTTCACCGACTTTATACTGTGCTGGAACAGTCCTGGTTGTGCATCCACTCCTGAAATTTTGAACTTCTTCCAGAATCAAGATCTGGAAGAAGTTCCAAATTTGCATGTACATCTGTTGTATAGATCTGCTTATGTGTAAGTAGACTGTTGGTATCTTGTCTCTCAGGCAGATGTATTCAAGCTTTGAGGGGAAACACCGCTAATTATCTAATTTTACGACATGCTTCTTGGAGGGGGTCTATTTTTTTCCCAACATGTGGTGCCGGAATCGACATGGGGAGCCATATTACTCATTTCTGACTTCTCTTCTCATCTCTGATGTATGTTTCTTGTTCTTAAGACCTGTTTCTGATTTCTTTGTTTTGGTTTACGAAGGGGCAGGGAAAGATGAAGCAATTTAGTTATGGTTGCTTTGGTTTCAATTTTAGTGTCAGTCAAACAAAGAATGTATAATGAGATGAATATAACGTATTTACCACAAGTGGGTTACTGAAACTTCATCCTACAGCATTTGCTGAGGGGGACTAAGAATTTATGCATTTGCCCAGAGTGTAATGATAATTATTGTTAAAATCAAGAGCCAATACATATAATAGTCAGATCTTCGAATGTATTTAAATCTCTTTAATGTTTCATTCTCTTGAACCCTTTCACCCCGAGAAATCACATAACCATCACTTCTGGTTGGTACCATTTCCCTGTAAAAGCCGCTTACCCAACCCACTATGGAGACATGTTTACGAGATGTATAGCTAACAGAGTTCATTGCACGTACAACTACGCAAACATTCAGTGTGGTGGTGGTAGTAGTAGTAGTAGATTTTTACCCAACCAGGACATCACACAAGCGATAAACACCTTATGACACACAGTGCCTCCAGGAGATGACTGGATAGGGTCATGGCTAAACTAAATAGAAACAGCAGGGTGGGGGGAGATAAGGCGTTCTTTTTTTTCCTTCTAAAATGACTTTATTTATAGAAATTTTTACGTCATATTTTTCCTCATTGACTGCAGTGGTTCAAGGCACACGGGTCACAGAGCGCAAAAAAGAATCACTCTGTAATAACTTAACAAGCCTCAGAAGTTGTAAACCTTTTGATTTTATGCTGTATTCGTTTTTATTGATTACTCCCCTTACTCTTTATAGTAATTTTATCTGTTTTGGATGATAAATTTTTTTTTTGCAATTTTATTTTACATGTGTCATATGTAATATTACTGTCTTTCTAAAGATTTTGTTTTGGAAATATCCTAAAAATGGAAAGTACAAGATATGGTTTTTGTTTTTTCACTACGGTGAAAAATTTGATACAGTTGTCCTCTTTAAAATACAGTCAGTATGTTGGGAAACGAGCAGGCAGATAGACTGGTCAGTTCTGCTTTTTTTTTTGGTGGTGTATTGATGTACGAAAAGCTGGATGTTATGAGGGCCTTTTGGGAATAAGTGAACAGTGCAGAGGCACAAACAGATCGGAACTCTTTGCTTGCTGCTGAAAATGGGGACAGAGCACTTATGGGAGTGTCCCAAGTGCTGCGATGTCGTTTCTTAATTCAACATTCAGCATATCCTCTTTAACATACATCAATTTCTCCCATAGCTGGACGATCTGCTAGAGAAAAGGAGAAGCCCATTGGATGCTGTCATTGAGTTTGCTATCGATGATTCTCTTCTGCTGAAACGGATAACAGGGAGACTGTTCCACATTCCGAGTGGCCGTAGTTACCATGAAGAGTTCAACCCACCAAAGAAAGAGATGACAGACGATGTGAGTACATGTGGATAGTCCGTCATATGAATTCCTGTGTCTCACCTTTCTGTCTCTCAACTTCAAATGACTCTTTTTCCTGTGTCTCGTCTTCTACTATCGCTGCTTCCTTTGTCTCAAAACCCTGTTTTTCACTCTGTGAGTGATGTGGCCAACATCAAACCAGATGCATCCCCCCCCCCCCCCCCCCCCCCCCCCCAGGACTTTACCTCATACCGATTTAAGGCTGGGTCGACCTAAATTTTTTTTCCTTAGTCTGGCTTCATTTAGGCCTGAACCCACCAGCTTTAAATCTGCAGATGAGTGTTTAGCCACTACACCATGGTGGCTCCCAGATACATCCAAATGTGCTCACATATCGCCCCAAGATAGATAGATTTGCATCCCACTGTTGATGGTGTCAGCCCTGTGTTGGTTGACAAGATTTCTTGTAAATCTTATGTCGGTAGGGGGAATCTTTGAGCATGATGATTTACGGGCACATGGCTAGTGCTGTCGCAGTGACTGTGCAGGTGAGGATTTTATTTTGCCTCTGACAGTATAAATCCCCAGCTTTTACTGATTATTCAAACCCGGGTCTTCCTCTTTAGAGCCCAGAGTTCTAACCGTTCAGCCAGCCACTCCTCCTTTATCCTCTGAGATGTCTTATCTTTATTTAGCCTCCTTCTTCTTAACTTTCACCGCTGTAAGTTCACGTTGAAAAGTTCTGATTGTTTTTCCAGTTCTGGCTTTGATCTTGTTATAGAACTTGAGTTTTACGTGCACATCTGTTGAGCAGATGTGGCTTATTTATATGCAGACTGTTGATTCTTTGCCTGTCAGGCAGATGGGATCCGGTTTTGAAGGATACGCCCCTTATGTCACCTTTGGTAACATGTTGGGGGAGGGCAATGGGTCTATAATTTGACCACTCCAGAATCCACATGAGGATTTATCTAACCCGGTTACTTCAATTTCACTTTCTGATTTGTAGATAACCGGTGAGCCTTTGGTTCGAAGAAATGACGACAACGCTGATGCATTGAAGAAGCGACTCGATACCTACCATAAACAAACAAAACCGTTGGTGGATTACTATTCCAAGCAAGGTCTTCATGTTGCGGTCAATGCCTCGCTGCCACCTCAGGCTGTCTTTGCTGCAATCCGGTCCATATTTTCAACAACAGTATCAAGGGATCAGATCTTGTCAATGAGAAACTGAAGATTTCAGACAAACCATCTTTAGATCTGTTATATTTTTTTTTTTTTATTCATTAGTTATTGTAGGTTTTCTTTCCATAATCAAATTTATATTCAAGAAATGTTTATTTCAAAGTCAAAATATGTGTATATTTAGATAAACATATTTATTTGTAAAGGAAGAGTCTCAGATACATGTTGCGATAAGAGACCCAACAGTGAGAGTGACCTCCCTTTCCATTGATGTCTAGTGCCTCTACTGTGTCACAGGGGTTTCAGGCGTACTGAGTTGGCCAGTGGTCACATGATGTTCCATTTTCCCTCTTCTCAGTACCCTGATGGCGGTCATGTATCACCCGTAGAACATGATGCTCCCTATGGACGAGGTGATTCCACTGGAAATTATGAAACTTGAGTGTTTATAAGTCTAGGTACATTATGAAACTGAGTGTTTATGGGCCTGGGTAAATTATGAAACTATTTGTGCTTTAGAAAATACAGAAATGATAATATATTGTTAGTGCTACAACTTTTTTTTTTTAATATGACAATCTTCAGTAAAAAAATTTTTTCAATTTACAAATATAATTGTTAATGCTTTATGAAATTCAGTTATTTTATTGTAGAATTTAATTGATTCTTTACTTCCATGATTAAAATGATACACCAGTGATTTCATTTCAGGGTAATTTTAATACGTATATTAGCTATGCACTATTTACTTGTTATCTTACATATTTGGGGGGCATTTTCTTTCCATTGCTTAGCATTCATCATGTTCCATGCAGGGCAATAATTTTCCACAGCAGCTGTTTGTGGATTTCCACCTGCTGAAAAATATTTAAAAGGTTGCTGAATTTTGTAAAAATCATTGAAATTTAGTTTGACACCAAATATTTACAGTGTTGTAGTTTTGTAAAATTGTTGAAAAGATATTTTTAAGTGTGATGAAAATATTTGAAATATCAGTGATTTTCTTGAGATCTGAAATGTGGTTGTGTGTGTGTTTTTGTTTTAATATAAAGTTAAGAGTTCTGCAGAAAAATAGAATTTGACTTCTGCTGAATATAAAGTTGAGAGTTCTGCAGGGCAAATGGACATCGCTGAGTGCAACAAAACCTGGCATATGACACCACGTCTAGTTTGAGAAATGGAGGTGGAGACGGTCACTGCAGACTTTTGCTGGCGTGAGAATCAGCAGTACACACGTCATAATTGTAACCAACTCACAGAGCATGCTGAGAAAGGCGGGGACCATGCTGCATCAAGAAGAGCAAGCATCGTTTCTGAGGTCTCGGGCAGTTAGCACCCTTTGTATGTTTTCTGCAGGATATGCCGGTGCATTCGGAAATGAACATACAGATAAACTGGCTGGTTCTGCGGCACAACTTTGTGGTGAATTGATGCATGATACGCTAGATATTATAAGGGCCCTTTAGAGCGAGTGAACGATGCTGAAGCACGGATGGATCATCACAGCCCGAGGAGAATGGTACTGAGTAGTGACCTGAAGATCTGACTGACGGAGGCTCAACACTCAGGGGAAGGTGAGACATATAATCAGACTATTACTAGTGACATCGGAATTGGAACTGCGCGCTTACTGCTGAAGATGGGGACGGAGTGCTTATGGGAATGTTATGAGTGCTGTGAAGTTATTTCTGATTTAATTAAAAATGAGTTCCGCTAAACATAAAAGTTTATATTCTGCTGAAAATAGAATTTGACTTGTGCTGAATATAAAATTAAGAATTCTGCTGAAGAAACTGGTGACCTTTGTTTCATGTTTGTTTATAATGGGGTGATAGTAGATTGGTGATTGAACAGTTTTGCCTTGAGTATGAAGGCACCAAGACAGGAGTTTTTGTTTCTGATTATACCTGAATAAATACTAACAATATATAACATGTTCTGTTTTTGTGATTTTTCCTGTTATTTATATAAAGGTTGAAATTTTAAAATCTGGCTACCCAATCATCTTCTTTTCAGATTTCTAGTGTACATTAGTAATTTAAAGGAGAGGCTGGCCGAAAGGTTAGAACTCTAGGCACCCAGGTTCGAATCCTCTCGCCTGAGATTTTTTTTTCCTTCTTTGGGGCAAAATAAAAGCCATACCTGCACAGTCATGGCGACAGCGCTAGCTATTTGGACGTAAATCCTCAGGCTTAAAGACCCCCTGCCTACATCACAAAAAGTGGTAAAATACAAGTCTCAAAATTTTGAGGCATTTTTTAATTCTTCTTCTTCTTTGCGTTCACCAGCTGTACACTCTGGCGTAAAGTTCTGGTTGTTCGTCCACTTCTGGACTGCAGTCCTGCTCCAGAACCTGAGTGTTGCGCATGCATCAGTTTTACAGATCTGATTCAATTGAATGCAGACTGCTGGTTCCTTGCCTCTCAGGCAGATGCACTCCGACTTCAAAGAAAGCTCCCCAGTTAGTAGACTCTTACGACGTGCTTTTGGGGAGGCAGTGGGTCTATTCTCGTTTTCCCCACAATGGGGCCCCGGAACCCAGGGGGGGGGGGGGGGGGGAATTGTTATTTATTTAAATTAAGAAAATGCTGATAAACTGGCAAGGAAAGTGGAAGACTAAAGCAGCCTGATTTAACCAGAACTTGTGTTGAGGCCAAGATGTTTATAAGAAGCACTCAGACGTGGCAAAAAGCACAATTCAAAACCAGATGATATGAGGACCAGAAACTTCACCACAAATATAGCCAACAGGAAAGAGAGCACCAATGTTTTCTGACCTAGCTGAATGTGGTCAACGTTAAATGAAGACGACGACGTGCTAAAGGAATCAGGTGCCTTCTTCTTTGCATTCGCAGGCTCTAATCTCTTGCAGAAAGTTCTGTTTGTTTGTCCACTTTTGTCTGGACTTATTGGGAGGGAACCAAGATAAAAATTAATTTTGACTACTTGGGGTTATCGTAGATCATTCACAATTATTCATAGTAAAAAAAAAATACAGTTCATTGTATATGCATAACAACTTTGATAAATTGAATCTAGACTTCTAGTTGACTTAGAGACTTCTAAATCTAGTACCAGAACTTTAATTCTGCATGCACATCCGTTTTACAGATCTGGCTTATTTATGTTCAGACTGTTCGTTCCTAACCGGCCAGCCAGATGTACTCTAACTTAAAGGAGGCACCCCTAATTAGCTGCTGTTTTCTCTTCTCCCCCCCCCCCCCCCCTAAATGGAGAGCGAGAATCAGAGCACCCAGGTCATCAGGATGATGATACACACTACTAACGATTGGGGGGGGGGGGGGGGGGGGGCAATCTTTAGACTTCACACACAAAATAGACCACGCTTAAACACTAAGTGCAGACTCAACAACACATATAAATTAGGTATAAGCCAACCAGCTCTTCGCAGTGTCATCGTGCTAAACAGACTCTAGAGCATGTCTTGCAAAACTCTCCTGGCGGAGCTGTGAATCACCTAGTAGAACTGACAACAAAGTTTTGGGGACACCAAAGAGACCTCGTGATGACATCCCAGTTTATGGCCCACAGTAGATTAAGTGCACGACCAGAGACTGCTAAAAAAGATCTTTACACAGAACATGACAGGCTGAAATGCCTTTTAAAAAGTTTCAGTGGCTGAATGGTGCAGCAGGGACTGACCTGGGGCATCTGGTTGATATTGACGTGCACAGAAAAGATCAGATGGATATACAAATTGCGACTGGTATTTTTAGAATATTAGAATCAGAACTCTGCAATGACTGCTGAAGATAGGTATGGAGTGTTTAAGGAAACGTCCTGAACGAAGCAATTCACCTGACACTAAAGAAAGGAGACACTGATGAATGTATGAGGACTTAAAGTCAAAACCTGAGAAGTGTGACAAACAAATTACACTAACCATGCCGCTGCCTTCTAGCCTCTCAATTTTGTTTAGGCTGTCAGTGACATCATGTTGCAGACGAACAAGGTACATCATACTGACAGTTTACTGATGCATGTATACAAACACAGAACAAGGTACATCATACTGACAGTTTACTGATGCATGTATTCAAACACAGAACAAGGTACATCATACTGACAGTTTACTGATGCATGTATTCAAACACAGACTTTAACGCCAACATTAAAAACATAATTGTTTTATTTCATTCATAAAACAGTAACAAAAATAACTAACCAATAATTCAAAGTAAAACATGAAAAAGTGCGGCAACAAGAGAACAACTGTGTTTACCAGAAACTATCTTCACTTTACAAATAAACGGACAATGGATTTACAGTGTGCTTTTGGCACCATTAGTTATGTCATTACTGTACAGACAACTCAAAACCAACGAAATCAATTCAACAGGCTGTATCATATCCATCCACTGGTTATGAATTCTGAACTAGGAATTTAAATTAAATGGCTACCACATTCATCTTAACACCGAGACGCCTCACAAAATTTCACACAAAAACAAACCTTTAACTGGTTGTATCATTTTCATCCTAAAGTTGTAAATTCTCCACTTGGAAATGAAATTTAAAAAATTTGCTACCCCACATATAACACTCATCTTCTTCTCCCCACCACACGAATCTTACAATGTCAAAACTTCAACAGGTTGTATCATGTCGTCCCTTGATTACGAAATCAGTTCAATGTGGTTCCCTGATAAAGAACTCTCTGATAATGTCAAAATCATTGAAACAGATTATATTCATCCACTCGTATGGAATCTCTCAAAATGTTCTCATCACATGCACATGTCCCTACATGAACAGCTGAAAACAAGAATAGTACGGAAGACAACAATCTAGAAATGTGTTTAACTGTAACACATCACAAGGACATGTAGGCAATAGATACAACTCTCTGGATATCTGAAGGCTGTCAGACAGAATACAACAATCTAGAAATGTGTTCAACTGTAACACATCACAAGGACATATAGGCAATGGATACAACTCTCTGGATATCTGAAGGCTGTCAGACGGGATACAACAATCTAGAAATGTGTTTAACTGTAACACATCAGAAGGACATGTAGGCAATGG